TTGGGGAATATGGGTTTTTCTATGGGGGTGTTGGTGTATGAGGTTTAGAGTGGTTTTTTCTATGTGGTTACCTATGGTTCTTCTAATGGTTCTATTATATGGGTTTTTCCTATGGGTCTTTTGGTGAGGTTAGGGTTGAGGTATAGGTTGTTATGGTTTTGGGTCTTCAGGTGGCCTAGGGGGGTGGGCATGGTTAGAAAATGGAAATGGTCATTGCTAACTTAATATACCCCAAAACCCTACTGTAAATATTAAGGCCCCTACATTACGACCATGACGGGAAGTACAGGACTGCGACTCACTGTCGCAGCGCTGTCATGTTCCTCCGAGGCGCTAAAGGACATATTGGATGCCTTAGGGTTTATGGTGTGGGGTTTGGGTTTAGGGTTTAGGACGTTTAGGGTTTAGGGTTTAGGGTAAACTCTGAACCCCCCAAACTCCAAACCCCGAGCCCGGCCCAAGCCCAAAACCTTAAACCCCTAAGCCAAACTCTTCCCCTTCTGTGAGGTTTGAGGTTTAGGGTTCAGGGTTTAGGATTTAGGGTTTAGGGTTTAGGGTTTCGGGTTTGGGGTTTAGGATTTAGGATTCGTGCGCGGGCAAGCCCAAAGCTCGGAACTCTTTGCTCCAAACCTTGAGCTTTAACGCGAAAGGGTTTAGGGTTTAGGGTTTAGGGACTAGGGTTTAGGGTTTAGGGTTCAGGGAAGAGCCTATGTCGATTTCCAATACTGGGCATCGGAAAAGCCAAAATTGCCACAGTTCAGGGTTTGAGGTTCAAGGTTTGAAAGCACCCTAATCCCAAAGCTCTAGACTCTACCCTAAACTCTAAACTCTAAAACCCAAACCCTAAACCCAAAACCCTCGACTCCTAGCCCCTAAACCCTAACCCCTAAACCCTCGACTCCTAAACCCTAAACCCTAAACGCTGTATAACAACTGAGGAGTTCACGGCTCTTTGAAGATAATGTCATGATGGACCGGCCGGAGGACACCGAAAATGTTGGAGTAGGGTTTAGGGTCTAGGGTATAGGGTTTAGGGCTCAGGGTTTAGGGTTTAGGGTTGGAGTAGTAGGGGTGGAGGATGGTCTGGAGACACTAGCCTCGATCTTCTTTTTTCGCCTGGACAGGCGTGGCGGCACCGACCCTTTTCCACATGTTTGTTGTGGTTCAAAGTTCAGGTGCAAGGATTAGTGTTTCGGGTTTGTCTATTTCCTTGCCGGTGGAGAGTTTAGGGGTCAAGGGCTTAGGGTTGGAGTAGGGGTGGAGGACTTTCAAAGTTTCAGGTGCAAGGATCAGGGCTTCGGGTTTGTCTATTTCCTCTCCGGCTGAGAGTTTAGGGGTCAAGGGTGGAGGGTTGGAGGGTTGGAATGTACGTGAAATCTAAATACTAAGGCCCCTATGATCTGAGGCAAATTCCGTATTTAAGGGGTATTGGGTTCTCTTGGAAGCTGTAAGCCCCAAGTTCGATGTGCCGAACCTGATGCCCGCAAACCCGAAACAAGCGCCAGAAACCAGGTAATATGGGGGCCTTTATAATTAGAATAGGGTTTGGGGGTAGATTAGCTAGGATTATACTAGAATCATAATAAGGAGCCCCAAAACCCTATTCTAGTTGTTAAGGCCTTTGCATGACAGAATCACAGAAAAGTTACCCCCCTGTAAAGCTTGTCTTGTAACCATAACCCCGCAGCTGTAAACCCAAAGCCATAAACAACACAAACTCTAAATCCCAAGCCCCTAACCTCAAGCCTCAACCCCAAAGCGTAAACCCCCAACTGTTGCGCAACCCCTACAGAACCTCGTTCAAGACCTGATAGATAGATCCCTTCAAGCAGCTCTCAACCCGAAACCCCGAAACCACAAACCCTAAGCCCTAAACCCTTAACCCTAAACCCTAAACCCCAAATCCCGGACTTATCGGAAGGAGCCCATCAAGGGCAGCGCGGCTTACACGGCGCCGGAGCTGAAGCGCCAGGCTGCTCCTCCAACATAGAATACGGAGTAAGGACGAATCCCTAAACCCTAAACCCTATAATAGGGGACTTTGGAAGGTTCCTGTTGAGGGCTCCTTTAAAAGGGTCCTTGAACAGGTTTCTGTTAAGGGTTCCCTGATATAGTTCCATCAGGAGGGCGCGACACAGTAATGATGCTATTTGAAGGTTCTTCATGAATCGAGTATAGTATACCTTAAATCCTTTTCTAACAATCTAGGGCCGCGGCGCGTGCCTTTCTCGGGAGGGAACCCTTGCTAACGTCTGCTTTAGGCTTTAGAGTTGTGGATTTAAGGGTTAGGGTTTAAGGCTCAGGCAGGTTCGGGTTTTGGAGTTCAGAGTTTCAGGGTTTAGGCCTACGACCCCTTTCTGGCTACTCAATGCCTGACACCCTGGGTTCCGAAATTCCAGAACCCTAAACCCCAAACCCTAAACCCCAAACCCTAAGCCCTAAACCCTAAGCCCTAAACCCTAAGCCCTAAACCCTAAAGCCCAAACAGGCAAAAGGGCCAAATTCATGCCCTCTCCAATTGTCAAGTCCCCCAAAAAGGGGCACCGGAGCCCTCCGTTACAGCACTAGTATGCTCCTCAACCCTACTCGTAAGCCTTGAACCAGAAACCCCACAAGCCGGTAAATTTAAGAGAGCCTCCCCTAAACCCTAAACCCTAAACCCTAAACCTAAACCCTAAACCCTAAACCCTAAACCCTAAACCCTAAACCCAAAGAAAAGCCCGAGACCCTTGGTCCTCGAAGGCCATGTCGAGCACGGATCGCCCACTTGTGTCCTGGCTCTGGCGGAAAGGTTTAGCACTACGCATGTGGGTCTTGGGGGTTTAGGGTTTAGGGTTTAGCACTACGCAGTTGGGTCTTGGGGGTTTAGGGTTCAGGGTTTAGGGTTTAGGGTTTAGGGGTTTAGGGTTTGGGGTTTAGGGTTCAGGGTTCAGGGTTTAGGGTAGGTAGAGGCTGAGATTTTTAGTCAGACTCTTTCCAGCTATCGGGTACTACATAGTTATGGGTGTCCCTGCATTACTGCCGCAGTTTCAAGCAACAGTCTTCCGGAGGGCCAACTGCATAACCTTCCTTCTTTCAATCCCGAACCAAAACTTTGCCCTAAACCCTAAACCCTAATGCTCTAGATGCTGCTTGTAGCGATCTCTTGGAGACGATGTACCCCAGAGGCACAGGGACTTCAGAGACCGGGGGGTTAGCTCAGAAAGCACCTAAGAAGACCTTGGATTCAGGGGCCCTAAACCCTAAACCCTAAACCCTAAACCCTAAACCCTAAACCCTAAACCCTAAACCCTATCAGGGTTTAGAGTTTAGGGTTGTTGAAACCTTGTGGAGGCCCTTGCAGAATCCCGAATAGACCCTTCAGGAACCCCTCAAGGACGCCCTTATAGAACCTCTAAGGAACCCCCCTTGCAGAAACCCTCATGGGACCCTGAAGACAGCTCCAAAAGCCGGGAGATCAATTCTGCAAAACCCTAATCCCCTAAACCCTAAGCCCTAAACCCTAAACCCTAAACCCTAAACCCTCAACCGACTAAATGGGTAGTTTTCTAAACTAGGGTCCCTTTTTAGGTCCCCACTTTAGTGCGGCACCCATATAAAAAGGATCTTAAAAGGGACCCTAGTTTAGAAAACTACCTAAAATCCCCGAAACCCCTGAGGCCTGAATAGCTACACATTGCTCCTGAGGGTTCCTAATCGTATATATGCTACGACACAAGCCAGAAACCCTACTCTAATTATCAAGGCCCCCCCATAGTAAACCCTGAAAACCCCCTCCAAAGGAGCCCTAAACCCTAAACCCTAAACCCTAAACCCTAAACCCTAAACCCTAAAACCAAAACCTAAAACGATCCGTCGAGAAATGCCCCAAAGCCCAGGAGACCAACTCCGCAAGACCCTAAACCCCAAGCACTACAACCCCAAAACCCCCCTGGGTTTAGGGTTTAGGGTTCAGGGTTTAGGGTTTAGGGTTTAGGGTTTAGGGTTTAGGGTCTAGGGGCCTAAATGATTATACCTTACCCATATAGACCCAAAGCCAGGAGATCAAGTCCGACTGCTGGTCTGCCGGCTGCGTCTTGTTTGTCACCCTGACGGGCCGGCCTGCCTTCAACTACAGCGATTCTTGGTCTGCACTTTAGGGTTTAGGGGTTTAGGGTTCAGGGTTTCGGAGTCGCAGTATCTGGGAAAACATAGCTGTTCAGATTCCTTTCGCATCTAATACAGTGGCCTTAGTAATTACCTATCGTATTTTGGGGGCTCCTTGCTACAAGTATACTACCACGGACCCCCAAAGCCCTATTCCTATTTTCAAGGCCCCTATATTACCGCTTGTTACCAAGCACCCCCTAAACCCTAAACCCTAAA